TTCTGGAATGTACTCTGTTCCACTGATCAATATGTCTCTGTGCCAATGCCACACTATCTTAATTCCTTTACTTCTTCATAAATTCTGATATCTAATAGGTCATGTCTCCCCTCCCTGCTCTTTTTCAGAAATATCCTTGCTATTCTTGGCCCTGTGTTCATCATTTAAATTTGAGTCATCTTATCGAGTTGTATGAAAAATTCTGTTGGAATTCTGACTGGAATAGCATTGAATATATATATCAATATGGGGAGAATTTATATCTTCATGATATTAAGTCACGAACATAGTATGTATCTCTATTTAGATCTTCTTTATTATCTTTAATATGTTGCATAATTTTCTCGGTAGAGGTCTTTTACATCTTTTGTTAGATTTATCCTAATTCCTTGATATCTCTATTGTAATTATAAATTGCCTTCTCTTCAATTACATCTTGTAGGTGTTTGCTGGTACAAAAAAAATGCAATTCACTTTTGGGTTTTAATATTGTAGTCATTTTGCTACGCTTTTGTATTATCTCTAATATTTGTTGGTTTTTTTGGGAGGAGGGTTTTCAGTCTACTGTATCAAATAAGAGCAGTTTTATTTCCTCCTTTCGAATCCTTATGCCTCTAATTTATTTTTCTTGTCTTGATACCTGAAAAGTTACCTTGTTAGTTACCTGGCTAAACACCTCCAATAAAATCATTGTGATTTTAAAGGGAATGCTTTTACTATTTCTCCATTTTGGATGATGTTTACTCTTTTCTTTTTCTTATAATGTTCTTTTTCAGGTAAGGACATTCTGTTATTGATTGACTAAGTGTCTTTGTTATGGAAGGATTAAAATTTTTCAAGGGTTTTTCTGCATCTATTAAGATGATCATGTTTATTTTCCCTCTTTTTTTTTTTCTTTTAAGTTTTTGGGTTTTTTTTTTTTTTGAGGAAGATTAGCCCTGAGCTAACATCTGCTGCCAGTCCTTCTCTTTTTGCTGAGGAAGACTGGCCCTGAGCTAACATCCATGCCCATCTTCCTCTGCTTTACATGTGGGACACCTAACACAGCATAGCTTGCCAATCGGTGCCACGTCTGTACCTGGGATCCGAACCAGTGAACCCCGGGCTGCTGAAGGGAACGTGCAAACTTAACCACTGTGCCACTGGGCCGGCCTCTGTTTTCCCTCTATTAATAGGTTAATGTGTTCAGTCATGTTTATGAATTTTTCTAATATTAAATCATCCTTCCATATCTGGGATGAGCCCAGTTGGCCATGATGTATTCTTTTTTTATACACTGTTGGATTTAATTCAGTAGTATTGGTGTAGAGTGTTTGCACCTATATTTATGAATGAAATAGGCCTTAATTTCCCTTTCTTGTAATGCCTTTGACTAGTTTTCGTATTAGAGTAATGCTGGCTTCATGAAATGAGTTGAAATTTCCTCTTTTTTTGTCCTGAAGAATTTATATAAAATTTGTATGGTCTCTTTCTTCAAATTTTGATAGAATTGGCCTATAAGATCATTTGGGCCTGGCCCCCCCCCCACCGTTATTCTTTTTAATCTTATTTTATTTTTAGTTACTTTCCTGACTCCTGGAATTCTGACTTGCATATTAGTGAGATAGTGGTTTTATTTACTCTACTAATTCATTACCCTTAATTATTCCATACTTGCATTAGCTGATCTTGTTTCTGTTTTTAGCGACCTTCAGTCCTTCCTGTAAATTGTCTTAAACTGCATTTTTCTGAAGCACTATTTTTTTTATTTCCCTATTAAAAATCTCTTACTCCTAAGGTGAACTACTAATTCCTCAAGGTCAATGATTTACAAGGTAACGAATTACCCCAAGCTATGACTACAACCATATTAATACAAACCACCATGCTTGTGGTCTCTTGAGCATAGCATCTTAATTTGTTCCTTGGTTCATACCCTGCTCTCTTCCTAGAATGAATTTCCTTTTCTGTTCTCTAGGTCCTACAGACTTTCAAAGCTCTATGAAAATTCCACATTCACAGAGAAACCTTCTCTGATACTCCAGTCCAAGATGATTTCTTTCTTCATTATTTTGCTTTTCTCTTCATCTTATTCTTGTATGTATTTCTTTCTCAGTTCTTCACACTCAGGGCATTTATCTTATAGTTTCTTTTTTTCCCTTAATATCACTTTCCCTTTCGGAACCAACAGTTTCATTCTCAACCCTTCTTTCCTTGATTACTAATAAACACTAAAACACATTAAAAATTTTTAAATTTATCTTATAGCTATGACTCAGTGACGATTGAGTATAATTTATAATGCAGTACTTTAAGGTATTTTAGTACCGTTGGTACCTCTGGACATCTACCATCTTCTTTTGTATAAACTATGAAAAGTACTTCTTCTCTAGTCCATGGTTTGCAAAGTCAAGTGGCTGCAGGATCATGTTGGCAACATGAATGTGTGAATCAGATTGTGTGTAAGAAATAGGGAGTGGAAGAGCCGGGATGAACTAGAGAATATGTGTGCCCTTTCAGAGGAATTCAAACCAAATTATCGTAAGGTTCTGGACCAGCCCTACTGTGACCTCTTGCTCTGTGCTGTTTCTATTGTCAAGCTCTACTACTTTATTTAAAAATGTGTTAAAAGCCAGAGTATATAATAGAACACTCAGGGTAAGTTAAAGATTTAAAAAGTTGAGGCCTACATAAATAGTTTATACTGCAGTGAATTTTTTGTGACATGAGCTAAAGTTAAAGTTCTCCCAAGTAGATGTGTCTAAGGTGATTTTTATGTGAATTTCATGAGGTCAGAGGACCACAGCTCTCTTGTTCACTGTATGTTCGGCATTTATCACAATGCCTGGCACACAGTAGGTGTTCAGTAAATATTTGAATGAATGAAAGGCCACGCACTTTTCAAGGTCTTTTTTTTTGGGTAATTTTGTACTGTATATAGCATGACCACTTGGTGGTGCTGAACTCATTTTAAAACCTGAAGAGATATGTTTATACCCACACACACCATAATTACTATTCTTCACGCACACAATATGAGCTGTAATAAATCATGGACGTTGTAAATCACTGTTAATATTGGAAGAGAAATATCTGTGACCACAGGATTCTTCTTTCTTTTTTTTTAAAAAAAACAGCTTTATTGAAATATAGTTGATATACAAAAAACTACATATTTAGCGTGTGCAATTTGAGTTTGCAAGTTTTTTCTAATTCTTTAAAAAACGTTACAGAATTGCAGTCCTTAGATCTAAGGGAATAGGCATGTTTGGTGGTATTCTCTGCTATAGCCTCAGCATCTAGCCTAGCACTGGGGCATATTATGTCTTTAATTATGGCACAATTTTGAAGGAATGTGTGAGTATAAATTTTAACTTCTTCTAACTTCACTCCTACCCACCGAGCCCCAAGTAATTTTGGCCCAAGATGAGGGAGCACTACGTCTTACAGAGTTTTATTTAACCACCTTTAGGAAGCCTCCTTTAACCATTAAAGTTTTTCATCCAGATTTATTAAAGAACTGGGATTCTGATCAAAACGTGTATTAAAAGAAATCAGCAGCAATGTTAATTGGATTCTAGGTCTCCTGTTACTTTTCCCTAATTCAACAATTATAAGATAGTTTTGATTAGAAAATCCTATAAGAAGGAATTACAGAAATGTGGTGGTCTCGTTATATTTGTTGGAGAATTGGGAGTAAGAGAGTTCCCTAAGGGGGAACGCAGTCTTCTCAAGGAATTTTGCAAACATACTGAGTCAAAAGTGTAAGAACTGGTGGATGTTTCACGAGACCTCAGAAGCCTCTGGCAACATGGAAGGTAGAGGAGTGTAAGAATTAAAGAGGGAAGGTAATTGAGAATTGTTCTTCTGAAATCAGGCAGGATATAAATAGGTAATTTACCAAATTGTAAAATCCTAAGTGAATTAGCGTGTTTGGAAAGACTCTAATTACAAAATGATATTTAGTTACCGTATGGTAACAAAATATAGCAGTAGGACTAAGCTGTATTTTTAAAATCCTTTACCAGGTTTAACTCACCTGTGTGCTTAACATTGCCAGCATTCGCACTGATCATCTGAGGTTCTTTCCAGCTCTGTGATCTTGACACTGGGTGGGCTCCATAGGGAGTGTGGGAGAAGCCCTTGTCCCTAAGTAGATTATAATCTTGTTGGAGAGACAACATATGTATGTACAGAGCCAGCCTAGCATCATGGCTAAGTGCACAAATTCTAGAACCAGACTCTCTGCCTCTTGCTTAGTTCTGTGCCCTTTGGGCAAGTTACTTAATCTTGTGCCTCAGCTTCCACAAATGTAAAGTGAGGGTAATAATACTTCTTCATAGGTTGTTGAGAGGATTAAAAGAATGAACACCTGTGAAGTGCCTAGGAAAGTACCTGGCACATAGTAGGGCTATCTAAATGTTTTCTCCTCTGACTAGAATGTAAAGTCCACATAATTTGTTAAATAAACAGTTAACAGCTGGATGACAGCACTGTACAGACTGTGTATGATTGAGTTGGAAAATCTGTGGACAATAGAAATCCTTTTGAGGAATTCGGATGAGGGTGGAAATTCATACGAGCTGTTGGATCATTTCTCTGGAAGCCACATAGGTGAGTTGGAGCTTGTGCTGGGTACTGAAATATGGGTTGCCTTTGGATAGGTAGAAGTGAGCATAGGAGGAAGTGACTAGGAGGGAGGACGAGTTCTCTTGGCTTAGTCAGCTCTGTTTTACATCACAAATGGTTGATCTTATCCTGACTGGATTGGTTTCGCTGATGTTATGAGTTCATTTAATTTATTTGGTTTCCTAGAATCTTCAAGTCCAGAATTGCAGCAAATTCCTGAAAGAAAATTAGAATGGAAATTAAACGTATTTATTATTATGTTTATGCTAAGACTATGAAATAAAAATGGAAAACTGTTAACTTTATGTTTTGGGGGGTCATTGTCACCAGTTGAAAGCTGCTTTTTTTTCTTTTCAGCAAATTGATAATATCTTTGTTTTCGTATTTTATAGGTAATTAATAATGCTTGTGCTACTCAAGCCATAGTAAGTGTGTTACTGAACTGTACCCATCAAGATGTCCATTTAGGAGAGACGTTATCAGAATTTAAGGAATTTTCACAAAGTTTTGATGCAGCTGTGAGTATAATCTTCTTATTCCTAAAATGCTTTATTTGTGGTAGTTCTTATTTTGATGGTTTACTTTAAAAAACTGTTTCAGATGAAAGGTTTGGCACTGAGCAATTCGGACGTGATTCGGCAAGTACACAACAGTTTCGCCAGGTAAAAAGACTTTATGTTAGATAAATACGATTTCTTTTTTGCCTGTTTGTCTCTCACTATTTTTTTCTTCACCGTAGACAGCAGATGTTCGAGTTTGACGCAAAGACATCGGCAAAAGAAGAAGATGCTTTTCACTTTGTCAGTTATGTTCCTGTTAATGGAAGATTGTATGAATTAGACGGATTGAGAGAAGGACCGATTGATTTAGGTAATCTGGCTCCTATCCCTGGTATTTCAGTTTTGACGGGAAGCAAGATTCAGTGTTCACCCTCATTTTAGCCACAGTGCTGCTTAAACTTTGAAGGCAGAGGGGACCACAGGTAGCATAACGTCACGAAGGCCTTCAGCTCTTCATACTTTATGAAGTTAAATAACAGACAGGAGGCACACGTTGACTCCTGTAGTTCAATTGGGATCTTGAATTTTTTTCTAAGAGAAATTTTTTTAACCCATACATTACATAGTTTATTTTTTATTTTCCAGTTAACTTTTAAAAACTACTTCTTTTAGTGAACTTAAGGTATTTTTGTCATTTTTAACCTGCTGATAAGGGATAGTAAGTGTTTCTTATCATCATCTTGTATTAAGGTATTTTCATTTGGAATTGGATCATTCAGAATCACTTTAATTCAGTGTTTAACAATTTATAAAAATACTTTTCTTCGAAGTTTCTACTTAAATAGTGTATTAATGTGCTGTTGGCCTTTGTGCCAGAGATTAGATTTGTCCTGATTCCGTCTCGACTCTAACCTTGAGCAAAATGATAAATGGGTATCAAGGCTGAGGGTACAATTGGTGGTTCTGATATAGTACTAAAATAATAGGTCTGCAAAAGGATTTTAACTCTTTAATTTTTACCTTATTAAGCTTTCCTTTTTTTTTTAGGTCTATTTTTGAGTCCAACGAAACCTGTTTTAGTTGAATCTAATGTTACTTGCTGTTTATAAAACTTCTAGTTTTAAAATAAATTTAACATAGTTTCGTTCTGTTTGTACATTTTGACCATGCCCCCTGTGTAGAACCAATAGTTTATCTCATGCGGATTTGTGTTACCTCTCTGTTTGAAAATAGTGCTTTTTTTATGTCCGTTACAGAAAATTAATAGAATATTCTTTTAATTCTGTAGAAGTTGGTTTTCTCTAGTTTCGTAGTTGATCTGATCTCTGCATTTCCTCTGTTGGCTTCTATCTGATCAGCCATTCTCTATTCATTGGAACCATCAAATATAAAGGAAGAAAAAGATAAAGCAGAACAGCCAGTTTTGCTCTACAACTGGTGGCTGTGCTAAAATTTATGGTGAAAAAGAGGATTAAAACAACTGGGTAGAATTGGTTTTGCATTATATGTGGATTTCAGTTTTTTATTTTATACTTATGGTGGTGGAGAGTCAGACAGATAAGGATCGAATCCTTGTTTTGCCACTAACACGTGTTCTGGTTTTTCTTAACCCTCAGTTTCATCATCTGTAAAATGAAGGGAGTTATCTTTGTTTCACAGAGTTGTGAGTTTTAATGAGACAACTCCCTCATTCATTACTTTCTCAAACATTTGTCCAGCACCTACTAAGTGACACAATAATGTGGCAATGGATGCTCTTTCCCCTTACCATTACTAAGAAAATAAGAATTGAAACTTAAAAATTATGCCAAAAGGATTTTTACCATTCTGAATTTGCTAAAATATTTATAAGAAAAGATATTTTGGACCAAACTTTTGAAATAAGGTTAATGTTGATTTTGTTTGACTTACATGCGTTTAAATCTCTTTCTAGGGGCGTGCAATCAAGATGACTGGATCAGTGCAGTGAGGCCGGTCATAGAAAAAAGGATACAAAAGTAAATGCTCAGCAAATCTCATTGGCATAACGTTCTGATTTTGAAACTTTTGTTTTTAACTTTTATTGTTATTTTAGCAATGCTTTTTGAACATCTACTTTTAATTGGATTAATGTGTTCAGGAAATCGATTTCAGGAAATGTCTAAATTCTACATAGTAATATGTCGTCTTGTCTTTACAGAAGTTAAACATGCAGATCTCCATTAAGTTAGATACTGTGTACAGTTATTTTGTAGAGTTTTGTTTTTGAGCATCTATTTTTTTTATTAAATTAAACTTTTTATTTTGAGATAATTATATATTCACATTCAGTTATAAAAATAATTCAGAGAGATCCTGTCTACCCTTTACCCTGCAGTGGTAACATCTTGCAAAACTATAGAACAGTGTCTCAGTCGAGATACAGAATGTTTCCATCGCCACAAGGATTCTTCTTGTTGCCCTTATATAACCACAACCGCTTCCCTCCCCTGCCCATAGCCTCCGTCCTTAATCCCTAGTTCTATAATTTTTGTCATTTAAAGAATGTTATATAAATGCAGTCATAGAATATGTAACCTTTTTGGATTGGCTTCTTTTCACTCAGCATAATTCTCCAGAGATTCATTTAGGCTGTTAAGAGTACCAATAGTTCATTCTTTTCTATCAATGAGTAGTATACTGTGGTATGGCTATACCATTTTTTTGCCCACTCGGCCACTGAAGCCCATCTGCATTGTTTTTTTGGCTCTTATGAATAAAACTGCAGTAAACATTTGTGTACAGATTTTTGCGTGAACTTAAGTTTTCATTTCTCTGGGATAAATGCCCAGGAGCACCATTGCTGAGTTGCATTGTAAATGCATGTTTAATTTTTTTAAGAAACTGCCAAAGTCTTTTCTAGAGTGTCTGTACCATTTTGCATTGCAGCAATGTACGAGCGATTCAGTTTCTCCACATCTTTGCGGGCATTTGGTTTTGTCAAATTTTTTTATTTTAGCCATTCTGATAGGTGGATAGTGATATTTCATTACGGTTTAATCTGTATTTCCCTAATGACTAATGATGTTGAAAATCTTTGCATGCCTTTTTTCCTGTTTTGTAATTGGTGTGTTTGTTTTTGACTGTTGAACCTTGAAGTTCTGGCTATTACTAGTCCTTCATCAGACACGTTGCCTGCAAATATTCTTTTCCAGTCTGTAAACCGTCCCCTGATCCCCTGATCCCCCCAACACGATCCTACACAGAGCAAAAACTCTTAATCCCAAAGAAGTCCAATTTATCAGTCTTTCCCATGAATTGTATTTTTGTTGTCAAATCTAAGAATTCTTTGCCTAGCTCTAGAGCCCAAAGATTTTCTACTGTCTTCTTTCTAAAAGATTTATGTAAAGTTTAACATTTTACATTTAAGTCTGTCATCTATTTTGGGTTAATTTTTGTGTATGGTGTGAAGTTAAGTCAAGGTTCATATTTTTTTGCCTATGCATGTCCAATTGCTCTAGCACTGTTTATTGAAATGGCTATCCTTCCTCCACTGAATTACTCCTGCTCCCTTGTGAAAAACCAGTTGGGCATGTTTGTGTGGGGCTGCTTCTGGGTTCGCTGTTCTCTTCCAGTGATCCGTTTGTCTGCTCTCTTCCAGTGCTACACAGTCTTGATTACTGAGCTATATTATAAGTCTTGAAATCAGGTAGACTGATACTTCCAACTTTATTCTTTTTCTTCAAAGTTGTGTTAGCTATTATAGATCCTCTGCCTTCCCATATAAATTTTAATATAATCTCCTATATCTAAAAAAATTCTTGCTGGGATTTTGATAGGAATTCTGTCAAACATTTATATCAGTTTGAAAGTTGGCATCTTTACTATGTTGAGTCTTCCAGTCCATGAACATGGTATGTCTCTCCATTTACGTAGATCTTTTGTAATTTCTTTCATCAGCATTTTGTAGTTTTCAGCATATGAGTCCTAATACATGTTTTGTCAGATTTGTACCCAAGCACTTTATATTCTTTTGAGTAATTACAAATGATATATATTTTCATTTTCGATTTCCGAGTGATCATTATTAGTGTGTAGAAATGATTTTTTTCTTTATTCTGCATCCTTCAACCTTGCTGAACTCACCCATGTTAAGAGAAGAAAAATGTATTGTATTTACCCATAATTTTACTTTTTCCATTGTTCCTCCTTCCTGATGTTCCAGAATTCCTTCTTTTATCATTTCCTGTCTGTTTAGAAAATTTCCCTTAGCCATTCTTTTAGGATGGGTCTGCTGTCAGCAGATTCCTAACTTTTCTTCATCTAAGGAAGTCTTGATGTCCATTTCATTCCTGAAGGATGTTTTCACTGTGTATAGAATTCTGTTTTGACAGTCTTTTCTTTTAGCACTTGAAGAATGTTATGTCACTCCTTTCTGGCCCCCATGTTTTCTGATGATAAATCCACTGTTGAAACTGTTTTGCCCCATAGATACAGTGTTGTTTCTCTTGTGCTACTCTCAAAAATTTTTCTTTGTCTTTAGTTTTCATAAATTTGAGTATGATGTGTCTTGGTGTGCATTTCTGTGTGTTTATCTTATTTGGGGTTTTCTAATCTTCTTGAGTCTGTGGGTTTATGTCTCTTGTCAGATTTGGGAAATTTTTAGCCATTCCATCTTGGAGTACTTCTTCAACCTCCCCTTCTTTCTCCACCCCTTCCAGAACTCTGACACAACTGTTGGATCTTTCGCTTTAGTCCCACAGGTCCCTGAGGCTCTCTCCTTTCTTATGGGGGACTCTGTTTTCTCTGTTCTCTCTGGTTCAGTTGGGTAATTTCTGTTGTCCTCTCTTCCAGTTCACTGGTTCTTACCTTTATCTTCTCCATTCTGCCCAAAGCTCCTCCTTTGGGCCTTTTTATTATTGTATATTTCATTTGTAAAGTTCCCATGTGGCTCTTCTTTATATCTTCTGTTTCTTTGCTGAGACTTTCTGTTTTTTCATTTGTTTCCAATGTGTTCGTAATTGCTTGTTGAATCATTCTGTGATGGCTGTTTTAAAATCTTTGTCAGAGAATCCTAACATCTGCCATCTCGCTATCTATTGAGTATCTTTGCCATTCAAATTGAGATTTTCATGATTTTTAATATGAGGAGTGATTATTGATTGAAACTTGACCATTTTGGGTATTTAATAATAAGATTCTGGGTATTTAGAACTTCTGTTTTAGCTGGGTTTTATGGGCACTGCTCTGGCAAGGTAAATCAGGGATGCTGCCTTGTTATTGCCAGGTAGGAGTAGAAGTCCAGGTTACCCGCTCCACCTCCATTGACACCTGAGGTGGGGAGGGGTTCCTTGTTGCCCCTGGGCAGGGGTGGGAGTTCCAGTCTCCAGCAGGACTTCCACTGATACCACCCTGGCTGGGAGGGGAAGGCGTGCCCTGTCATTGCTCTCTGCATGACTCCACTGATGCTGAAGCTGGGGAGGCTTCTTTACCACTGGGTGTTAGTGACTTCCCACTTCGTCTCCTCTCATACCACAAGTAGGTGCCATTACCGCCTGCAGAGGTGAAAGTCCCAGCTTCCTGCTTACCCTGTTCTGACACCAGCCCTGCTGCCTCAGTGTTACAGCCTAGTGAGGACGGAAGTCTGGGCTCCCTGTTCAGCCTTTGCTGGTGGGTAGGGTTGGGGCCACAGTTTTTTCAGTTGTGTTTGGCTATGGGTAGAGTTGTTATTGTCTAAAAGTTTTCTGTCTCATGAGGTTGCTCCTTTCCTGTTGGAGAGAAAGAGCAGACTTTTGTTGGCGCTTTTTTGTCTGTCGGTTGGCATTTCTTGGTTGCTGGCTTCTTTAGCTTCATGTCCAGGGTATATGAGGCAGGAAGATAGCCCAGGAAATTCACCACCGTGGCATCTTTGAGTTCTCATGCCCTAGCTTGTCTGCCTTCTCTCCACCTTTCACAATTTTCTTTTTCTTTTTTTAATATATATTATATCCAAGGGTTTTTAGTTTGATATTTTCTTAGTGGGAGGACTAGGGAAATGGAAGTCCCACAAGTAGATTTTTAAGGACAACATTTTTACATAGTTCAAAGCATTGGAGTTATACTGGGCCCTGTTCTTTCTGGTGAACGGAACTGTGTATGAGAAGCTCTTGCAGGTGAACTAATGCAAGAACAGGTTTACATTTTCTTTATATTTTCATCTTGATTCAGCACCATTTATATAAAGTTGTGGATAATTTTTCTAACTTAAAGCCCTACTGTAAACAGGCTTGTACTATGAGATGTTTCATTGGCATCAGAGTAGTGAAACAGCATTCAGAAATTTTACAGTAGGATATAATCACGTTATATTAATAAAATATTATACAAACATTTTACACATTATTTTACATATTTATATATAATAAAAACAAAATATAGGTGAAATATTAAAAATAGGACCTACATCATGACTTGGAAAAAAGTATATACGTATTGGATAAAACATAAAGTATAGGTGAAATATTAAAAATACATTAATTAAAAAGAAAAACTACATCATGACTTGGAAAAAAGTGTATAGTAAGCAGTATAGTTAATTACCATCAAGATGCCGGTTTAAAGACAAGCTAACAATTGGGAGAAGATACTTGCAAACCACATATCAGACAAGGGGTTAACATCCAAAATATACAAAGAACTCATACATCTCAACAACAAGAAAACCAATAACCCAATTAAAAAATGGGCAAAAGGGGGCTGGCCCTGTGGCCAAGGGTTAAGCTTGAGTGCTCTGCTTCAGTGGCCCAGGATTTCACCGGTTCGGATCCCGGGCGAGGACATGGCACCACTCATCAGGCCATGTTGAAGTGGCATCCCAGATGCCGTAACTAGAAGGACCCACAACTAAAATATGCAAATATATACCCGGGGGATTTGGGGAGAAAAAGCAACAAGAAGAAAAAAAAAAGATTGGCAACAGTTGTTAGCTCAGGTGCCAATCTTTGAAAAAAAAAAATGGGCAAAAGATCTAAACATATATTTCTCCAAAGAAGATATATGGATGGCCAATAGGCATATGAAAAGATACTCAACATCATTAGCTATCAGGGAAATGCAAATCAAAACTACAGTGAGGTATCACCTCACTCTGGTCAGAATGGCTAAAATTAACAAGACAGAAAACAACAAATGTTGGAGAGGGTGTGGAGAGAAGGGAACCCTTGTTCACTGCTGGTGGGAGTACAAACTGGTGCAGCCACTATGGAAAGCAATATGGAGTATCTCAGAAAATTAAGAATAGATCTATCATATGATCCAGCTATCCCACTGCTGGGTATTTATCCAAAGAACTTGAAAACGCAAAGCCATAAAGATATGTGCACCCCTATGTTCATCACAGCCTTATTCACAGTAGCCAAGACTTGGAAGCAACCTAGGTGCCCATCAAGAGACGAATGGATAAAGAAGATGTGGTATATATGCACAGTGGAATACTACTCAGCCATAAGAAATGATGAAATCCAACCAATTTTTGTGACAACATGGATGGTCCTTGAGGGTATTATTCTGAGTGAGATAAGTCAGAGGAAGAAAGTCAAATATTGTGTGATCTCACTCATAAGTAGAAGATAAAAACAGCGACAAACACACACATAGCAATGGAGATTGGATGAGTGGTTCAGAGGGGAAGGGGAGGGGGGTTAAAAGGGGTGATGAGGCTCACAGGGGATGGACTATAATTAGGTTTTGGGTGGTGAACATGATGTAATCTACACAGAATTCAAAATACATTACAATATACATCTGAAAGCTATATATTATATTCCAATGTTACTGCAATTAAAAAAATATAAAAAATTTAAAAAAAAAGATGCCAGTTTAATTAATTTAACAAATTTGAGGTCTTAGTTTTTCTGAGATCTTATGTAAATGAGTTACCATATTTCTTATAAAAGTATGAGAACTATTAAAAATATTAAATATTTAGGAAGTACTAACCTTATTTTAGAACATTTAAAAAATATTTGTGATTTATGAAATTTAGCTGTTTTTTCCTGCAGTTATACTCTTTCATATATAAAAGCTTTTTTCAAATGTCAGTTATTTCATTAGCCTATTGATAGATTTGTGTTTATCCCAGAGAATCATTGGGATAATCACAATAGATGATCTTGATTGTAATAGTGCTACGATTCTTTATTACATTATAAATTTTAACTTTTTTTTAGGTACAGTGAAGGTGAAATTCGATTTAACTTAATGGCCATTGTGTCTGACAGAAAAATGATATATGAACAGAAGATAGCGGAGTTGCAAAGACAGCTTGCTGAGGTTTGTGGCCATGCTGTTTTTTTCGTTTGTTTGTTTGCTGAGGAAGATTCGCCCTGAGCTAACATCTGTGCCAATCTTCCTCTATTTTTTAGTATGTGGGCTGCCAGCACGGCACGGCTGCTAACAGAATGGTGTGTGTCCGTGCCCGGGAGCTGAACCTGGGCCACCAAAGTGGAGCGTGCTGAACTTAGCCACTGGGCCACTGCGGCTGGCCCTGTGGCCATGTTTTTAAGTACAAAGTTCTAGCTTAGTTATTCTGTCAGGGAAAGTATTTCCTTTCCTTTCCTTCTTTCTTTCTTTTTTAAAAAAAACATAGATTTAACCAAGTGTCCTGAGTGGTGGTGAAGAGAGTATGCTCTGGAGTCAGGCTGCCTCGATTCAGCTCCTGGCTTTACCACTTAGTGGACATGTGAATTTGAGTATATCTCTTTGTGCCTCAGTTTCTTCATGTAAAATGAGGGTAATAGTATTTACCTTATAAAGTTGTTATGAGGATTAACTGAGATAATACATGTGAACCAGTTAAAACAGTGACTGAGAAATGGTATGTGCTGAATAAGTGTTAGCAATGAACTGTTTACTGTAATTTCATTGTATATTAAGCAAGTTAGAATGTATTTCCTACAGAGTTAATCAGGTACGTTTAGATTCATATGTAATCTTTAGTAGTCTCCATGATTGTCTTTATGTGGTAAATATGATTGGAGAGGAGATTTGGTAATAGACAAAGACCTTTTTTTACATGCCTTTGTTCTCATTTTCTTGAGTATATTTAAGCAAACTTATTTTATAGCTTAACAGAAGATTATAGCAATACTGTGTGCTACAGTACAGCTTGTTTTTAGGTAAAAATTCATATGTATTATTGTAGAAGACGGAAATAGGGAAGGTGGTAGTTAGGGCTTTTATCCTTTAAAATTGCAGTTGGTAGGCTGGTATTCTGTCACCAATATTAAGAGTTAGAATTTGAAAATAACTGCATATGTTTATCGTTGTAAAATATTCTGGACTTAAGCCTCAATCGTTAGGGTGTGTGTTTCTTTTTCTTTCCCCTAAGGAGGAACCCATGGACACAGATCAGGGTAATAATATGTTAAGTGCTATTCAGTCAGAAGTTGCCAAAAACCAGCTACTTATCGAAGAAGAAGTGCAGAAGTTAAAAAGATATAAGGTAGGTTTCATTTGTTCCTTCCATGCTTAGTGTAGCGTGGGGCATTTTGACATGACGCTATGCTAAGTGCTAGTTTTTCCCCCATCATTTACTAGTTTTCAGAATAAGGAGTTGATTCCCTGGACCCTACAGAGGTAACTAGCGAGGTTTCTTTCTTTTTAATTTTTTTTAAGTATTATTACGAACAGATTTTTAACCTCTTTAATGCTTCAGTTCAATGCGGTTATTATTGAGGCTCGAATTCTCCCATTTTTGGCCATTTGGAGCCACTTCAAGCTGTTCCCTAAGTCCTTGTGACATGGCTCTCTCCGTCTTTGATAGCTTCCTTGCTTTCTAGTATGACAGGACGTCTCAGACTCATCTTGTACAATTCCTGCTTCAGACTTGGAATCAGCCATTTTTTCAACGAGGTCCTTTTGGTGGGAAATGGAATTTAGAAACCACCATCTGGGTGCTCAGGGTGCTTAGTGATCCTGATGGGTTGTATTTCTAGGTCTTTTCAGAGCTAAGAAATGCTTTTTTGTTTGTTTCTTGTTTGATTTTTGAAGAGAAAATACAATGTGAATTCATATTAATACTCAAATTTAGGATTAAAGGGCTTTATATTTGAGGTTAGGCATTTGAATCTTTTAAGCTGAAAGTCTTGGTTCCTAACAACATTAACATGATTACTTATTTGCTTTGTGCTCTATATATGTATAGCATACGTGTGTCTGATTGCTTGTTTGCTTTAGGCTATATATGTGTGTATAATGTATGTGTGTATATCTATTATAACAGTTTAGAATAACAATACCAGTAGTGTTAAAAACAACTGAAAAATTTTTTTCTTAAGTTTACTTTTTCCTTAGGATATATCCCATTTTGAATGTACAAACTACTGTATTTTTAAATTCATTTGAAAAACTTTTGTCTTGGTATGGTTCTCTCAACAATTTGATACACAACTGGGTTCATTTGTTTTATTTTGCTTTCCAATCTTTTAGTTTTTAAAAAAATTTTGATTTAACTTTAGTTATGTTAAGCGTTTATATAATTCAGAGTAAAATAAAAAGCAAGACTGTTTTTGATAATGTCATTCTTAACTCGAAATCTCTCTGAGAAGCTTTTTTAAGAGAGTGAAAAGAGTGAAGGGAACTTAGAATTTTGTATGACTTTGGAAATGGTACTTATGTCCGTTATAATGTAGGTCACAGTAGAAAAAGCATCGTTATTCATTTGAAGCTCAGTTGAAGACAGGGATTGTCCTTTTTCTTTTTATTGCTCACCAGTGTCATCATAGTGCTTTGCATCGTATATAACTAACAAATGAATATTAAATGAAATAAATGGACTTTAGACAAGTAGGATTTCTTGAGGTAGAAGTGGTAGGGGCTGGCTCCCGCGTGTTCCAGGCAGGAAAAAGGAGGCCAAGGTCGTGGAGACAGGTAAGTAAGGGATGAAAGCTTCAATGTTTATCTTCCATCTTATGTGATATTAAAAATAACTACCTATCATTTATATCGTCTTATGCAGGGTTATTACATAATTAACTAATTTTTACTATTTGCCTAAAATAAAACACAAACTAATTTTCAAAATCTTTCCCTGCTACATTGTTTGAGAATGCTTTGTTCAAAAAAAGATAAAATGATTCTCATATTGATATAAAATGAACATTTGTTAAGATTTTATTTAATTCATTAAGAAATTGAGGGAACCTGTAAGATGTCACAAGTAGTTCAAATGAGAAATCAAGCTCAAATTTATATGAAGTAAAGGAATGTTGAAATGAATTTACAAAAGATGGAGACTGTTTCTTCCTCTGGGAGAAGGGAAGTAAATTCAGCCCCTACCAGGTGGAGTGTTTAACAGCTCAGTGGCAGTGGAAGGCTAGATCAGTAACGGGGCGGGGGTGTGCTCTAGATGTTGCATAATTTTCCATTGAAGCACAGATTTTTCCCTACTGTCTACCCCCTTTTGATGAATAATAATTCCAAGAAAGTTTATTTTTGATCACAAAAGTAAAGTTGGTCTCTGTAGGCTTGGCCTGGTTATATGTGTAGGCGTCGTAATAATAGTGTTGATTTATCATGTGGGCCTTCTTGAGTTTGCTTTCATAAGGTAAGTTTTCGTAAGAATCTTAGATTAGATTTTTAAAAGCCTCTGTTATTCGCTAAGCCAAGAGTATGAAACCACACTCAAGAAACTCTCTCCTCATGTTTTATTATATTACTCTTTATTCTCAGTGGGAACAGAATCTCATTATTTCTAATATTTTTCCTACGAGAATGGAGGATTTTCTCCCGTTTCTAATTTGAGTTGGATGCAAAAATTAAAATTTCAGAAACTTAGTGGAAATGTAAAATTAGTTTGGTTTGATATTTCTTGTATTTTCAGATTGAAAATATCAGAAGGAAGCATAATTATCTGCCTTTCATTATGGAACTGTTAAAGACTTTAGCAGAACACCAGCAGTTAATACCACTAGTGGAAAAGGTGAGTATTTTACTAGTGAATACTTAAATTAGATTAAGATTCCCTAAAAACAAAGATTTCTTTTGGTTTGAGTAGAGGTAAATTTGTTGAAGTTTTTTCTGTTTCTTTTTCTGCTTTTGCCTGTTGTATATGCTAGATGGACATTAGTTCATCCTGATAGTATAAAATCAAAATAAGAGCTTTCCCTACTGCTTCAGCCTTCCAGGATCCTTAGTGTCAGGAGCTAAGGTTGTACTATATTAGAATAGAATTTAAAGCATCTTCCTTTCTTTAAGCTGAAGACAAATTTTTAATGTTAATAATTGAAATAATAGATTTTTTTCTTATTTAGTTTAGCAAAAATTTGAATTCTCATAGAATTTAGAACTAGAATGGACATTGAAGGGGGAAGAAAATGTAGCCTAGACTAAGAAATAGATTTTCTTATTCCTAAGCCAGTATTCTTTCCACTGACGGAAAACTAGCATAGGTTAGTGAAAAATTCTGATTTCTCAGACTTTTTTCTTCAATGTAAGGCACTTAAATAAAATATTTGTTGAATAAAAGTGAAATTCAGTTAAATCGTTTTTAATTTATACTGTAAATCAGTGTTTCTGAAGGTGACCATCACTGGGCACTCTTAAAATATGTGTTACCTGGCCACTCCCCAGATAATCTGATATAGGGGAAAGAATCTTTAATAAGTTTCCCCAAGTGATTCTAGTGCAGCTGGTCTGTGTACCACATTTTGAGAAACACTTTGAGAAGACAAATAAAATTTTGGACCATTAACTTAAAGACCAGAATACATAATACATAGTAGGTATATTTTTCATATTAATTTTACAGTTTATGAAGCGAGATACATTTCATGCCAGCTAATTTATATCATCATAAATTCTAAATGATCTGAGTTGCGAGTTAAGGTTTTTTTGTATACCTTAGTACCCAGATCCTGAAATATATGCTTCAACTTTTAGCATTAAATGCCAAAATTATTGCAGAAGACTGCTACATCTTCTCTTTTCCATATGTTTTTCTCTTCATATGTCTCAGGGTATTAAAGTTATTAAAGTCCAACATGGGAAACTGATTTTTAAAGTTTTAGATTAACAGTTAGGGTCCTCTGACTCTCAAAATTAGTTGATTAACAAGCAGAGTACCTAGATACTGTGTTCTTTGTATGAAACATTATGAAATATTTCTCTATTAAAAATATTAAACAAAATAATAATATAGAATGCTGTGCTAAATTATATATGTCAGATTTTAAGTATAGATAAATAGTATTCGGGACCAGACGAATGTTGTTAGAGAAATTTGAAAGGTACATATTTTGCTTTTTTTTGAAATATGCTTTTTTGGCGAGAAAGATTGGCCCTGAGCTGACTATCTGTTGCCAGTCTTCCTCTGTTTTTCCTCCTCTCCCCAAAGTCCCGGTACATAGTTGTATAGCCTAGCTGTGGGTCATTCTAGTTCTTCCACGTGGGATGCTGCCACAGCATGGCTTGATGAGTGGGGCATAGATCCTGGCCTAGGATCTGAACTGGCGAACCCAACCACTCGGCCACAGGGCCAGCCCCTGTATTTTGCTTAAAGTTGGTCTGTGAATAAGTTCTTTTTGTGTGCAAATTAGGAAAAGGACTATATTTGTTTGATTTTACTGACGGTATATCCCCAGGTGTTTTTGAAAGCATAGTTGGAGACCACAGCTTTTGCATTAGATCTGTACTTCTTCAGTTCACATTATTTTGGACACAGGGTGGCAGTATATGAATGCCTAGTGTTAGTGGGACACTAGCGCAGGCAGTTCTTGTGCTTGCATTTGTTTTATTGACCTGCTTGCTTTTGCCTATTTCTCCAAACTGTTCTTTGATTAGTAATGTTGCACAAGCAATATTGAGATACATTTATTTCTTGTGTATATGCAATATCTGTTATCCCTCTAGATTCTGAAAAGAATTCAGATTCATTATTTGATTAAAATTTTTGAAACGTTTTAATTACTCATCAAACATTTATATAGCTGCAGCTATATTCTGGGCATTCTGTTAAAGTCTGGATGTACACGGTCTTCTCTCAGGCAACTCGTGGCATAGTTGGAGAAAGGAATGAATAAACAATTATAGTACTGTGCTGAATATTATTCTGATAGGTGCTGGAATAAAGTCACGCTAAAGATCCTGGGGGCGTACAGGGTATCTCCTGAATAGCTTTGTGCCACTTAAAATGTCACATCCACAAAATTTCAAATCCATGGTTAGAATTAAATGCTTACTCTCTACCAATAAATCAATTTCATTTCCTTACTGCCAATGTATTTTTGTTCATCTTATTTTGAAAAAAGAAATCATTATATCATATTCACTATCACTTTCTGCTGATAAATGCAAATGTTAAAAATTAAAAAACAGACTAGGTTAAGATTAGATTTTATAATTAAATACAATATAAAGGCTTTAATAGTGATAGTTATTACTTAATGGCAATACTTCTAAGAAAAATTATATGTCGAATTCAGAAATGGAGTATTAAGTTGAGACGCCCTCCCTTCCCCCAGTCTCAGTAGACTAAGGGGTCGAAGCGTGGAAGGCGTAGAAGGAAACAAACAGGAAAGATGCGGCTGTGCTAGGCAGTGTTGCTAAAGGCCAGACCCGTCCAGGTGCAGGTTTCCAGTAATGGAGGCAGCTGCTCACAGCTGCGATGGCATGAACGTGGTTGAGCTGTGGAAGCCTTTGCATTTTACAGAGTAATAAAGGGTGAAGGCTGTGGTTCTCCCAAGGGCTTATGGCCCTAATGAATTAGGTTAGCATCTTGCCTTGTGAGTGCTTTTGTTATATGAGGCTTCTCCCCTTATCTGATGAGTTCACTGAGTGTGCGTTACATAAAAATCTCTCAGGAGGTAACTGAAAGTATACAGTTATAAAACTTCTTGTGTCACATACCACATCTGTTCCTTAAAATATAAACTAAAATCAGCTAGATTAAGATTTCATTTGTGAAACTGTCACTTATTCAAGTATACTTAGAATTCTTTAAAATTTTTTTTTTCTTTCTGCTTTTTTCTCCCCAAATCCCCCCAGTACATAGTTGTATATTTTAGTTGTGGGTCTTTCTAGTTGTGGCTTAAATTTTTATCTCAGCCTTTATGTGTAATTCTGAATCATTGTCTGTCCCAAGTTTTTAACAACCACCAATAATCTACCGTAGTGTAAAATCATAGATTCAGTTGCTAATGGGGAATTCACAGCAACTTCACAGTGTTGAATTTTGTCCATGTTTTACTAGGACATTATAATTCTGTTGGTGATAAATAATCTTCAGAACTTACTTTTTCTGTCCCTTAATAGAAATACGGTAGAAGAATAGTTGTTATTCATGATAATATCTACATTAATATCTACGATTACAGAATTATCTGATGAGTCAGCAGTTTTTAATATCTCATTAGCATACTATGTAGAAGGAAAGTAGTTTTTAACAGTGTACATTTTTTCCATGCTATTTAGAAATATGGTGGTATTTTTTAACGAAGGCAGAACAGAATAATAGAAGCTTTCAGTTTAAATCTCAGATATGTTACTTATTATTAAGCTGGTGCTTTTAGGCTATTTACTTTGTTATGCTATCTATTTCCTCATCTGTAAATTGGGAATCACACCTGCTTCACACTCGTGAGAATTAAATCAGATTGTATCTGTAAAATACATAGTGCTCAGAAATGGTGGCAATTATTTTTAACTTAAGTTATTCTTAGTTTTATCTGAATTATATAGTTTAATAAATATATGGACACTCTGCATTATATGTCTTTGCTCAGTTAATTACATTACAAAGTTTATATCATAGACTAGTAAATTCATTATTGTTACCCCTACTAAACGTTCTTTATATTCAGAGTCTATTCAGAGATCAATAAGGAAAGAAGTACTTATTTTTATTTAAAATTGTCTAAAATTGAATTGTATTTTCATTATTTGGAAATAGGAAACTTCTTTGTATGAGAAATCTTACACATTTCATACTACAAATTATGTTGGTTAACTAAAAATGTTCGTGCAGGCAATTTTATTATTTTTTGTATGGTACATATAACATATTTACTCTTAATATATTCTAAGGCATAGCACTCAATTTTATCGAACAGTTGAATAATAATTGTATTATCTAATACATTATAAAAAAGGATTGTAATTACATAATTTTTTAATCTGAGGAAGTTTTGTCTTAATAGCAAAAGCCTAATTTAATTGTTCCTTTCTGATTCACATGGCATAGTAGAAAGAACGTTATATTGTAGTACTCTAAAATCTTATCAAGGTGTCATCTGAGACCAGCAGAGTTGGCATCGCCTGAGGGTGTGTTAGAAATTTAGAACATCAGGCATTTTACTGAATCAGTCTGCGTTTTACAGGGTCCCCAGGTCGTCGGTATGTACGTTGAGAAGCACTGCTACGGAACACATGTCCTTTGACCTCTGTTGAGGTTTTGTTATATACTAGCTGTGTGACTTTGGTCAAACTTGATGACATCTCTAAGCTCTCTGTCTTCTTCCTCTGCTAAAAAAGTGGAATTACTGCAAGCTATATAATTGTTGTGAGGATCAAATGAAGTAATGTGAAAACATTTTTTAGGTCATATACCTAGGGTTTATCAACACTACAGATATCTAATCCTTTAGTGATGTTACGTAAAGTCATTTAAACTCTTTTGTTAAACTCATTTATTCAAACATGCAGAAACTAATAAAGGATTTTTCTTATACTCAATTTGATTGAGAAATGGGCACATCTTTAAATATATTGTTTGAAATACCAATGAGTATGACTTTATGGAATGAGTACGTATTTTTAAGTTATTACAATTATAATAGTACATTTCAGTTTCAGATAAGAAAGAACTGGAAACCAAACATGATCCTTTTTTATTGAGGACAAAGTATAACTACATAATTGTCCAGGAGTAGTTTGTTCCAAGTCTCAAGTTATAAAAGATAATGCTGTAGAAACCTTATAAATGATACATTTCAAGCTCTTTAGCTTAAGATTGCCCTCTTAAACACATTTTATTTTAATATGATCTAAAGTAAACTTTTGAGATTTTATAGCATGCTATCTTTAATTTCTAGGCAAAAGAAAAACAGAATGCAAAGAAAGCACAGGAAACCAAATGAAGAAGATGCTTTGGGATGTGTACCCATTTCTGCTTCTGCAGTTGTTTTCATGGAAACCATTAAGTATAAAGAACTTTGAGCAACATCCTAATTGACTCAGTGCACGTTTGGCAGTAGTCCCAGTCTGTCTTATCGTTAATGCATGGATTCATAAACTTTCCCTACCTGCATCATGTGCATGTAGTGCATATTAGATACAAGTGATGTTAAGAGTGCTTGCTCAAATTCCGTTATTTGACATTGGTACTCTTGTTGGTTCTCTGGATGTGTAACTACCCAATGAACCTAGAAAATGCACACATGATATTCTCTACCTGTAATTGTTATAATTAATCTTTTGATCTTTTAGCTCAGTTAAATGCTTAAAGTTTATAAATGTCAGATCTTGATTAAACTGAATCTCTTGTTTCCTCTCATCATTAATGGGTAAAAAAATCAGTATTTCTGTCTTTGATGTCTAAATATTTTGAGGATTTTATCTCCTATACCAATTATTTGAAAAAGTATGATTTAAATGCAGATCATTTGAAAAAGACGAAAGTACAGTTTCTAGTGATTTTCATTGCTGCCGTAGAAAAATAATAAACATCCCACTTTTATCTTAGCAAGTTTCTTTAAGTGTTTGGGGTTGTTAATGTATTATAGAGTTGTCTCAGGAAGGTGTGTGTGTTATGCTTCCAAGCCAAGTTTCAGGTTAAGAACAAATTGTAAATCTTACAGATTTTTGGTGTTACTCTCAGTTTGGCAACGTTGTTTCAAGCTGTTAAGCTGTATCTTTAGGAAAAAATCAGAGGTTTGACAGTTCAGGCTATCTGCTTTTTAAAAAAAGGATAATGGTTGTGGGGGAGGATTCTTCTGTGCTAATTTGAGCAAAATTAGTGCAGCCCAATAGCTTCCAAGAGCCATGTGTGGTTTGCCTGCAATGGGTTTTTTTAATTGGTTTTGGGAGTTGCTTTGTTTTTTATTTTATAAAATAATACTATATTCTTGCTCCTAATATTCTTTTCCAAGTTAAACTTTAAAAGAAATTTTATGAAACTTCTTTTTATAAGGGAAATCATGTACTTTTTTTTTTTTTTAACTAGGCACATTTCTGAAGTTGATGCATGACTTTTTAACATTTTATTATGGAAAAGTTTAAATGTTTGAAGGGAGACTGTGTACCCATCTTCTAGCTTCAGACACGTGAATTTTTTAGGGATTGTCTTTAAGCTTACTACATTGTGGTATTAAATAACTAAGTTGAGGGAACCTGGTGGGAAATTGAGTAGAAAAATTAATGAAACACTTTTCATACATAATTTCAGTTGAAGGTAATAAAGAAGAATTTATACTTTTTCATTTGTTTGTGGGCAAATATATTTTGCTCTAGATATGATAGTAATGATGGAATGTTTTCAAAGCCATGATACAATTTTTAAAAATAATTTTCAGAAGGATTGTTTTAGGCTCATCTTGATCCCATTCGTTTATTTCAACTTAATTTATACACTCTCTTTTATAGAGGCTTAAATTTTGTAAAGCAATACAAGGAGTATGATAGTAAGTAGTAGACAATAATCAAGACAGTGTGATACTGACTTAAGGATCAACAAGTAAATTAATGGAATAAAAGAGAGAGCCTAAAAACAAATCCACATTTATATAGTCGTTTCATTTTTGACAAAGGTAGCAAAGCAGTCCAACAGAGAAGGAAAGTCTTTTCAACAAATAGAGCCAGAACAACTAAATATCCATGTGGAAAAGATGAACCATGACCCCCTACCTCACAGAAGGGAATTTGAGACGGGTCATAGGCCTAAATGTAAAGCTAAAGTATAGTGCTTTCTAGAGAAAAACATTGGTGAATATCTTTGTGACTTGAGGCTAGCCAAAGGTTTCTTGGGTCACAGAAATCAATAACCATAAAAAATCCAAAATTACTGTTTATCAAAATTAAAAACTTGTCTTTGAAAGATGGTTTTACAAGAGTAAATAGTATCAAATGACATTTAAAAAATAATTTTATAAGACTACTGTGTTAATAGTTATAAGGATATTTGCTTATTAATCTAATTCTAATAAAATTCCTTGACAGGAATTTCCATAGCTTAAGAATGGTTTGTTTTGTCTGCTTCTTGTTTGATGATTGCAAATGCATCGTGACCCTTCATGATAATTTCTGCCAGTGAGTAAAGAAGTGTGACTTGTCCTTGTCTGAGCCCTAAGTCATGAAGCTAATGGGTAGAGAAAATGGAGGAATAAAGAGCAATTCAAGCAGTATATAAATGTTCAGTGGAAAGCTTAAAAAAAAAAGCATTTAAAAGAAAGTCTTCTTTGCTCATTTCACTTTTGCCCTTTTGTTTTCTAAAATCTCATTTAATGATTGGGTAGGTGAAGGCACTCCTATTCTCTTTTATGCCTGGGCTAGCCAATTCTAAGGGATATGCTTCTGCTGTTATAAACAAAGAAAGCTTGCCAACAGCTGCGGCACTGGCTAGTCTCACTTCATATGTTTAGTTCCCAAGATAGCTGCCCTTTTCCTAGCAGAGAGCAGTCAGCTTGACTGTGCCCCTAGAACAGACAAATATTTGTTCTGAGCTCATGAACCATGGGGACTCGCTCCCTGTTTAGACCATGTGACATACTTCTGTGCGTATTATGGTGTTCCATGCAGATTGATGCCTTTAGTTCATCTCTTAGTTGCCTGAAACATTTCAAGAGACATTCAGAAATTACTCTTTTTTTTCCTCCTGTACGAGGGTGTTGTTTCTTCTCTTTGAAAAAAAAAAACGGCTTTTAAGGTTTTCTCCTTAAAAAAAAAAAAGAAAATTTAAAGAAAAATAAACAAAAATAAAATTTAAATTACCCATAGTTCTACCATGAGGGATGACTACATTAAATTTTCATGTAGTTAGGGATCCTTTTTTCCCTTGTGTGTATATACGTTTTTGTGTGTTAGCCTTGCATGCTCTCCCCACTTTCCGAAACAGATTTATGTAGTATGAATTATTTTTACAGTTGATGATACACAATTTGTCATTTTTGTATCATTGACAACTTGCTTGCAGGAAACAAACCACTCTAGCTAGTTTAGGATGAATGGGGATTAATATTGGGGTTTTTGAAACTGCATAGTTCCCTACATAGTCGTTGAAAGGTAAGGAGGAGTGGGCTCAAGTTGGGCTCTCCAGGCACGACTCCCAGCAGAACATATATTACTGGCCCATGGGGAAACGGCAACTTCTGCCCCACTCAGGGGCTTCACCGTCGGAATTACTGATGTTAGAACACGCCGCAGTGGTTGTGTTCTAGATGTTAGGGACCTGCCACAACTATCTTTTGGCGCCTAGCAACTACATAGGGGTGCAGAAAAAGTCAGCCTCTCCCTGGCTAAGCGTGCCATTCAGAATAGCTAAAGCCACAGGCAGATGGCTCTGCCTGACTGTTGACTTTCAGATCTTCCACAAGGTTTTCTGCAAGGGAGTCTGGGAAGTTAGTTTTTAGCTCTCCAGCCTGTGCAGAGTCGGAAGGTGTTCTAGAAGGAGGAGGTTGGCCTGGTGCTGAGTGCAGATCCACCGAGTCACCTTCTTGCATTCTTCTGCCCTTGAACAAGCAGTTTTTCCTTTTTACATAAGTGAGACGTGTTTATTTTCAAGAAATGAGAATCAAATCTAGTCCTGTTGCCCAGAGATAGTCACTGTTAGTGTTCTGATGTATGTTCTCCAGAGAACGTGTGCTATGCTCACACGTCATTGATACTTCTTTTTTATGCAAATGGGTCATACAATTATATATTTTGTTGCATGCTTTTGCCCACACCAACTTCTTTGCATATTAATAAATGTGGTTGTATCACATCTTTTTTTTAATGGTTGCTTAGTATTCCATTATATAAATATGGTCTAATGTATTTAATAAGCTTCTAATAATAAGGAATAAAGCATAGAAATAAAATGGGCAGACTGGATAGTTTGACTTTTAGGGAGGAATTTCATTTTTTTAAAGTAACGTGAATTCCTGAATCAGTCAAACATGCACCTCCTTTAATTTGTTGTTTTCTTTAACTCGTGGTTAACTGGCCTAAATGCAGTGACTGATGAGATACAGATTCACCACTTGCAGCATACATAGTACTTTCTGGTTTTGACTTGATTATATTAACATCTTGAGAACTTTCTTTGGTAATTTATTCAACATATATCAGTTGTTCTAAATGCTGGAGATATGGTGGTGAATAGGTTCTGGCCCCTGCCCTTATGGTGACCCAGGCAGTAGACAAGCCCATGTAGTGTCATTTTTCCAAGTAGTTGTAAGAAATAAAGCAGCGCAAAAGTATGGAAGGAGCTGAAGTTTGATAGGGTGGCCATGGAAAGTCCCTCTAAGGAGGTGACATCTGAGCAGAGACCTAAATGAGGAGAACGTTCTTCTCTGGTGCTGACTCAGCACCATGAAAGTAGATTGCATACAGGCAGAACCAACATGCAATAATTCAGAATATTAATTTGCAGTAGTGTTTAATCATTCGATGGTTTATAAAAGTTGACTTGGGGTGTCAATATGAAAATAGGTTGAATAAAAGTTACATGGAGAAAAGGCTAGGACCACTGACTATGTTCTTTTTAGGCTGTCCAGATATTTTACATAATAAACTTCTCTAAGCCTTGTAGCAGTAATAGTATGGTGTTGACTAAACCATAAAACCGGTGGGAAAAGTCTCATGCAAGTATATTTTTAAACAATTTGATATACACCGTGATTAAAGATGTGTAAACAGGGGCCAGCCCGGTGGCGCAGCAGTTAAGTGCACACATTCCACTTCAGCAGCCCGGGGTTTACCGGTTCGGATCCCAGGTGCGGACATGGCACCGCTCGGCACACCATGCTGTGGTAGGCATCCCACATATAAAGTAGAGGAAGATGGGTACAGATGTTAGCTCAGGGCCAGTCTTCCTCAGCAAAAAGAGGAGGATTGGCAGCAGTTAGCTCAGGGCTAATCTTCCTCCAAAAAAAATTTTAAAAAGATGTAAACATTAAAACTAAAACAATGAAATTACTAGAAAAAATATGGGAGGATATTTTGTTTATTGGGGATAGGGAAAAGCTTCCTAAATAAGAAATAGAAAACACAAAAAAGAATCCAGGAGAGAAGTACTTGACACACAAAAATTTCTGTACAATGAACACCATAAAACTTTCTATTTTTTTTTTTTTTGAGGAAGATTAGCCCTGAGCTAACTACTGCCAATCCTCCTCTTTTTGCTGAGGAAGACTGGCCCTGAGCTAACATCCATGCCCATCTTCCTCTACTTTATACATGGGACGCCTACCACAGCATGGCTTTTGCTAAGCAGTGCCATGTCCGCACCTGGGATCTGAACCAGCAAACCCCATGCTGCCAAGAAGCAGAATATGCGAATTTAACCGCTGTGCCACCAGGCTGGCCCCACCATAAAACTTTAAAAGACAGCAAGGCAACAAATAAAATTTGATCATACATAACAAAATTTAATGTGTATATTAGAAATATAATTAATATCTAATATGCATAGAACTCCAAAAAAAATAATAACCTGGGAGAAAAATTGGCAAGTGATATGAATAGATAATTCACAGAAGAAATTAAAATGGCTAGTGACATTATAAAAGATGGTAAATCCCACTAGTAAGCAAGAAAATGCAAATTAAAATAAGAAAGGGATGGCTCTTTCCTGTCAGATTATCAAGACGTTAAAATGATTGCAAATATCCATCTTGCAATGTGGGCATCAATTGGCGGGTTTATGGACCAATGGTAGAAGTCTTTTTGAAAAGCATTTTGGCAGTTCTCAAAATTTAGGTGGTACATGTCCTTCACAACAATTTCACTTCCAAGAACCATATTACAGATGTATTCATGCAACTATACAAAGACGTGTATAAGAAAATCCATCATAGCATTATTAGTAATATTAAATAATCAGAGAAGAACTAAAAGCACGGCAATGGGGAAGGGTAAATAAGTAATAATATGTTGGAATGCTATGCAGTCACTGAAGAAAATGAGATGAATGTCTATGTATTGACATGGAAGGATGTCTAGGACATTTTTTAAAATGAAAGTTGCGTTATTGTGTTGTAGTATGAATCCATTTTCTGATGAAAAGCCTTATATTTGCATATATAAGAATAGACAAATATTTGAAAGTATCATACCAAATTCTTTTTTTCTTTTTTTTTTGAGGAAGATTAGCCCTGAGGTAACATCTGCTACCAATCCTCCTCTTTTTGCTGAGGAAGACTGGCCCTGAGCTAACATCTGTGCCTATCTCCCTCACTTTGTATGTGGGATGCCTACCACAGCATGGCTTGACAAGCGGTGCCATGTCCTCACGCAGGATCCAAACCGGTGAACCCTGGGCCACCCAAGTGGAACATGTGCACTTAACCGCTGCACCACCAGGCTAGCCCCTCACACCAAATTCTTAATAGTCATTAGCCAAGGGGCTTCGAAATGGAAGATTAAAGGAGAAATTTTCCATTTTAAATTTATAGGTTTCTGAGATGATCGAATTTTTTCCTACCAGAATATATTACTTTTGTGTTCTAAACAATAAATAAATAAACCTTATCAATAAATTAGCCAGTTATTCTTATAACAAAAATATTGGCAGAATCTCTTTCAATAAGATGCTCCCTAAATACAGGAAAATATGAATAAAACAAACAAATGCAGTTTATAGGTATGTGTATAATATATGTTTGAGTAATATATTTATAAATATATTACATATATACACATGTATATATACACATATGTGTAACGTATGTTTGAGTAATATATTTACTGTGCAATCTAAGGCATACCTATAATGTCTTTGTAGGAATACTAATACAGCTGTTTATGATACTCTTTATTGGTGGTCATTTTAAATATTTTATTTTACTTTCTTCCTCCTAGTTATTTTTTTCTTTTGAATCAAACCGTCTATAGCCTGTGTGATGCACAGACCAGCGGCATCAGCATCCCCTGCGAACTTGTTAGAAATGCAGAATCTCCTTGCCCCAGGCCAACAGAACCAAAATCTGCATTTTAACAAGATGCCAGGTTGATTCCTGTGCATGTTAAAATTTAA